GTCTCACAGAGTAAGCCGGTGTCTAACCCTCGAATCATTAAAAATCGATTCAGTCTTCAGCCTAAATTTGTCATTTAGCCTTTTGACAAGGACAAGGCTCACGTTTCAAAATATCTACAGAAGTAATATCAGAAGTTGGTAGTAAAGTGAGTAGCTGACAGGAAGAACCATCAAGGCAGGGCCTCGGAGCTCCACACAGATGAGCTGGTGGTTCATGGCTGTAGCCTGGGCTAATGAGAGCTGGTTTTGATTTGTTACAATAGGATTATTGTAGTCAAACCCAATTGCTTTTATGGCATTGCAAGTTCTTTACCCCGAGGGCCTACCCATCCTCTCCCATATCATATTCCATTCTCTTTCATATGCATTTTATTTCAACCACTTCAAACTTTTCTCAAAGACACTTTCCTAGGTTACCTTTTCATGTCTGTGACAAAAATATCTGAGATAATGAAACTTACCAGAGGAAACATTTATTTTGTCCATAATTTCAGAAGTTCTTGTCCATGTTGCTAGGTCCCATAGGTCAGCAGACTCCATTCCTGGTGGTGGAACCATGCTGTTCACTGTAAGGTGAACAGGAAGCAAAGATATTGACTACTGGTTTCAAGGAAGCAAAAAGAATACGTTTTATAACATCCTCTACCAAGTTAATTAAACTATGAGCCCATAAATGGTGATTCTATTTGCAAAGTCAGAATCTTCATGAGTCTAGTACCTCCCAGAAGCCTTACTTCTGAACACTGCTGTACTGAAGACAAAGCCTTTAACACATAAGCTTTGCGGGGAGACATTGAACATCCAAACTATAACATCCCAGCCACAGATCCCTAGGGTTCACGGCTAGCTCATAATACATGATGCGTTCAGTCCATCTCTAAGAGTTTCGAAGTCTTCACAGCTCCAGTTACTCAAAAGTCCAAGTTCAAAGTCTACTGTGAGATTGAAAACAAATTGTTTGCTATTAGCCCCTATTTAAAAAAATTACATGCTTCCAAGAGACAATGGTATGGGCTAAACATGCTCATCTCCAAAGGGTGGAGAAGATAGTAAGTGAAACCAGGCTCACCAAGGTAAGCATTAAACACTGTAGCTCTGGATCTGGTTTTCTAGGCTTCACAAGTTTGGGGGCAGCCAAACCATGATGCCCTTATCAGATACAGCCCATGGGGCTTGTCTTGGGCTGGGAAAGGAACTCTGACCCGCCCCCCCCTGCTGTCTAGTCTCCTAGATTTTCCTTTATAATCTCAGTGGAAGGCTCATGGCCCCCATAAGTTTGTATTCTTCATGCATACAAATCCAGCATCATGGGAATCATACCAATGGCTAGCAAAGGAAAGGGTGGGGGTGGAATGGTGGGGATAAAAGGGAGTTTCCTGTGTGCGCAGTCCTGTGTGAGCAGACTGCAAGGAATTCACGCTTTTACACTCTTGAGAGTGTAGTGGCTGTTGCCATTTCCTGAGATACCCTCAAAGCATCTGTGCTATTCCTGGGCAAAGGTCTTCGCTTCCTCTAAAGGGTCCAAGGCTCTTTAACAACCTCATCCTCCTTAGCTGCAACTTAAAGCTGACTCTTTTTCTTGTCAAACTGGAAGCTTCTCAAGTGTGCTCATTTTGTTCCCAATTCTCACTGTAAATATAACTAAAAGCAGCCAGCAACACACAACATGCCTCTGTCTAAATGCTGTGTTATGAAATTTCCCCCACCAGATAGTCTCTCACCTTTAAACAGCCTCCTACAAAGTATCAGAGCAAGGACAAAATATAGACATGCTCTTTGCCAGAATGCAATATGAATGCTCCCCAGTGAAATTCCCAGCACTGCCCTCATTTCCATCTCGAACCTCATCTGCAGAGCCTTTACCTTCCACATTCTTGTAAGCATTCTGGTCTTCTGAGGTCCCATCAGAATCAGCTGATAAGCTCTATTTACAGCATTACAGGGCTTCCGTAGCCCACAGCTTTCCAATTTTCCAAATTCCCTCTGCATACCAATTTCAAAGGCTTCTGAGCCACATATTCAGATATTGTCACAGCTAAACCTATGGTACAACTGTTAGGAGGTGGCTTTATTTTGACTCACAATTGCAGAGGTTTTAGTCCCTGGTTGCTTGGCTCCATTGTTCCCTGCGCCCCTGTCCCCCCATACACACACACACACACATCATCATCATCATCATCATCATCATCATCATCATCATCATCATCATGGCAGGGTGCATAAGAGCATAAGAGCTGCTCACTTCATGGCAGCAGGGGAAGCTAGGAGGGAACTTGTTTTTCTAACTGAGTGGATCGGTCGCATCCATCCCAGGGGACCATGCAGAGGCAGGCAGGCACAGGAGAAAGATTGTTACAAGATGTATTAGAGGAGCCATATCACCCCCCCCCCCCCCCCCCCCCCCCCCCCCCCCCCCCCCCCCCCCCGCCCCGAGATAGCACATGGCGGCCTCCACTGTCTAGGTAGCAGCAGGGTCTGGGGGTAGGAAGTGAGGTAGATGGGAGCTCAGATGGGTCTGGGTGAAGAGAGGGAGGGAGCCCTGGAAACTCCAGGGCTGGGAGAAGCTCCTGGCTTGGTGGAGCTGAGGACCAAAGATGGGCATAATGCTTACACTAACAAAGCTTCTCACTGAGTGGATTTATCCATTCATAGTCATAACCTATATTATCCAATCACTTCTCAAAGGCACCACCTCTGTACATTGCTGTATTCTGCTTCAACACCATGAGCTTCAGAGGGACATTTAACATCCATAGCACTTTCCCATAAGTTCTTACATTGTACAATTGTTATACTATGTAACAATACATTTCAAAACAGTTTCCCATACTTATATATACTTTATGAAGGTAAGAACTATCTCTCATCTGTGTACACTGTTTTCTGGACAGTTGGCATAGCCTAACACTCCATATTCTTTGATCTCTCTGTACATTTGCATTAACAGTTGTTTTTTACTTCAGATACCCCTTTCCCAACAGCAAATTCCACTTCCCCTCTATGCAAGGTGTTCTCTGTGACAAATTCTATAACTCTAAGTGATATTAGTTCTTTCCTTGTGCATTACCCTATAACCATTTGTTCTTATTGTTTTTCTTCTAATGTTACACAAATGCTATAGCTAATAATACACTTACATGAAGCACACACCTACCATGAGTGAGGTGTTGAGTTCCATTCTCAGCAGTGCAAAAAATAACACATTTACAAATATTAGTTCAACTAAAATTAAAGATCTCATAGTACTAACTTCTGAGGATCCTGACTCTAATTTTTAAGGTTTTGTTTGTTGTTTGTAACATCTTAGTGAGACCTCTCTAAAATTTTGAGACACAAACACTTTGGAAATCAGCATAATAATCTTATAATAGTTTAAGCAGGCAATGAGGGCAAGAACTAAGGTAATTGGAATTGACAATTGGAAGCAGATATGGATGAAGCTGGAGAGCTGAAATATTTACACTAAGTTTTCTTTTTCCTTTATCTGTTGGTCATTTTGTTGTTGTTGTTGAACTCAAGGCCTGGGGTACTGTCCCTGAGCTTTTTTGTTCAAGGCTAAGCATTCTACCACTTTGAGTCACAGCACTTCTTCTGGTTTTCTGATGGTTAATTGGAGATAAGAGTTTCACAGACTTTCCTGCCCAGGCTGGGTTTGAACTGTGATCCTCAGATCTCAGCCACCTGAGTAGCTAGAATTATAAGTGTGAGCTACCAATGCCAGGATTAGACTAAATTTTGTATTCTGGCAGCCAGTGTGTGTGTGTGTGTGTGTAAGATAGAGAAGGGGGGGATGGTGGGAATGCTATCAAGAGCTAGCCCAGTGCCCAATCAAGTAAGAATGTTATTTCAATAGAAATAAGGAACATTTTCATCTCATTTTGAGACTTTTTCCATGTGGTAAAAGAGCAAAGGGAAACAAACTAAGGTTTCATAAAAATGTAGTCTTTCTCACCCTGCACAACTATTCTCAGCAATCCAGAAAATCTATGGGCTAATCTATTTCTGCACAAAGATTCTATTATCTGAGGAGTTCGGGCCAGTGAGGGCTTGTAACCCAGATTCTTTTCTCGAGCTAAAGTTACAGTGTTTTGGAAGGCCAGTGATCAGGACTGATCTTGGCGAGTTGTTACTTTCTATGTTTCATCTTCCTAACTGTAAGCAGAGCACAGAACTATGGTGGAAAATTGAGATATTACACTTAAGAGCTCACAATGCAATTAAATAAGTGGAGACATTTCATACGCAAAGAAAGTTTTTAAACATTTTATTTCTAAAAGTAGGTCTCTTGAGATCCCTCCCCCTCTCCCCCTCCCCCTTTCCCTCCCCCTCGCCCCTGCCGCCACAGCAAACCCGGGCGAGGTCTCATCTCGCAGTTTTAGGCCCAAGTGTCTTTTTTTTTTTTTGTCGGTCGTGGGGCTTGAACTCTGGGCCTGGGCGCTGTCCCTCTGCTCTTCAGCTCAAGGCGAGCGCTCTACCACTTGAGCTACAGCACCACTTCCGGTTTTCTGGTGGTTTATTGGAGACAGGAGTCTCACGGTCTCTCCTGCCCGGGCTGGCTTTGAACCGCGACCCTCAGATCTCAGCCTCCTGAGTAGCTAGGATTACAGGCGTGAGCCACCAGCGCCCGGCTCCAAGTGTCTTTATAGCTTCTGAGCTGCACCCGACCCTGAGATTCCATTCTGTTCCAAGGGTACAGCTCCAGGTCTGTCCGCCAAGGGGCGCCGTCCGCAGGCTCCCAGAACTCTGCTTAGAGTAAATACCCTGCAAAGGCAAAGTTCTAGTCCTTCAGAGAACCGCGTCAACTTCCGGTTTGAGGGTCACACCTGGTTGGCCAATGCACTTCTCCTTCCCTCCAACCCCAAAATGTGCGCGCAGGCGCACTGCACCGCGGAGGGCCGGCACCCGGGCCACGCTCCAAGCTGTAGCTGCGGAGGTGGTGGCTGGGGGCGCTGTGGGCGCGAGGCCGGAGCTCCGTTCCGAGCCCGAGGTTTGGTTGCATCGAGAACCCGCGTGTTCTCCGGGGCCGCCAGGCTGGAACTACAAGTGGACTTCCGTGGGCCCGGGGCTGCCGGGCAGCGGCTGCTCCTGGCCGAGGCCCCGATGGAGAATGAGCCGGAGACGGCGGCGGGCGCCCGGCGGAACGGCCGCGGCGAGCGCCTGCTGCTCTGGTTCTCCACCGTGACGCTGTACGCCGGCTTCCTGGGGCTGGTGAGAGCCGGGGCTGGGACCGCTTTCCCCGGGGGAGGCGCGTCCCGCCTCCCGGCCGCAGGTGTGGCCGTGGCTGCGTTAGCCGGCCTGGGCCTCGCTCTTGCCTTCGGGGACGTGGGCGCAGCAGCCACGGCTCCTTGTAACCGGGAAGCTAGCCGTCCGGATCATGGTGTCCAGCGCCGGCCGGGGTTAAGTCTCCTGGGTCCGAGGGAGAGAGAGCCGGGGCGTCGCGGCGCGGGCCGCAGCCCGCTCCCTCCAAGCCCTTACCTTAGCCATGGTTTACGCAGAAAAGCGGCTGTTGCTTTTCTCTTCCGAGTCACCTAACCATAGCCCCTGCTGACCCCTGGGGGGTCAGGGGGCGTGGGAAGTGACTTTCCAGAGTGCACGGCAGGTTCAGAGGTCGTCTCTTAACCATGCCTCCACGCGATTGAAATCCAGCCTGCAGATCCCGAGAGCCAAGGAACAGAAATGCTCGGTTGGATCATTGGGGACTCCGGAGTGTTGGGAGGGGGAGACGATCCCTTCGGAGCAGTTCACATCCCAGAGAGTGGGGTTTGTGGCCCAGAATCTTTTCACGGCCGAAGCGAGGCTAGAACTCGCGGCAGATGCCTGCTGAGGTCTCCGTGTACCGGCTTTTCTCTGGCCTTTGAAGACATGGAGTACTCCCAGTAGAGCAGTTCGCAGGCTCCTTGTCCCCGAGGCCGGCTGGGGCCTGTGCTCAGCAGGTCCTTCGTTTTGACTTGTTCCTGCTTGGATAGAAAGTCCATTCTTCACTTGGAGTAGAACAGTGCAATTAGAATCCTTGAAGGGTTTTGTGTGTGTGTGTGTGTGCGAGTTTTCTGAAATGAAAATCTCAGTTCTTGCTAATAAATAGTACAAATTTTTTGTTAAAATTCTATGCATGTATTTGTCCTATTTGCTGGGAAAGTCTTTCAGACCACTCCTTGACGATCATGGATTGTCATTGATGAACAATGTAGATTAGGAAGTATGCAAATGATTTCCTGCACGTTGGACATGTGTATTTCAGAGGAAGGAACCTCAAGTCGACCAGAAATTGCCATTTGATGTGTCATAATTTCAAACTTAGTTTTTACATTTTAAAATTGTTAATATTAAGGTGATGTACAGAGGAGTTTATGTTGCATAAGTCAGATAATGAGTACATTTCTTTTGGGGCACTGTCATGTAATTTCATGTAGTATTCAGAGTAAGAATGTATTTTAGGATTTTTTTTTTTTGCTACACCTTATTACTTATTAGTTAATAATGTAGTTAAGGCGTTGTCCAAACTAAAGGGAGTTGTAACAGAAGATTTACCTTTTTTGGGTGGGCATGGTGATATACATCTGTAATTCTAGTACTCAGGATCACGAGTTTAAAGCCAGCCTGGATTACATAGAAAGACTCTGCGAGAAAAAAAAATAAAACAGAATCCACTTTCTTAAAACTAAGAATCATGAGAAGAAAAATGTGGGAATTTATACCTCTACAAATAATAATACTAGCTGGGCACTGGTGGCTCACACCTGTAAACCTAGCTGAGGTCTGAGGATCATGGTTCAAAGCCAGCCTTGTCAAGAAACTCCATGAGACTCTTCTCCAATAAACCACTAGAAAACAGGACATTGTGCTGTGGCTCAAGCGGTAGAGTGCTCGCCTTGAGCTGAAGAGCGCAGGGACAGCACCCAAGCCCAGAGTTCAAGCCCCATAACCAAAAAAAACCCCAAAAAACTGTACATTTTTCCTGACTACGGAACTAAAGTCATTCCCTCCATTACATCAGTATCCTTCCTCCCAGTTTTTTTTGCAAGTCTTGGGGCTTGAACTCAGGACCTGGGTGTGTCCTTGAGCTTTTATGCTCAAGGCTGGTGCTCTACCACTTGAGACACAATTCCATTTCTTGCTTTTTTAGTGTTTAATTGGAGATAAGAATCTCATAGACGTTCCTGGCCTGGCTGGCTTCCAATCATGATTCTCAGATCTCAGCCTCCTGAGTAGCTAGGATTATAGGTGTGAATCACCCATCCCTGGCTTTTTCACAGTTGTAACTCTTCAGTTACACACACACACACACACACACACATACACACACACGTATGTCTCTATACACATAGACATATATGTATTAGATATACATAACTTTAATGATTATAATTAAAACCTCTTTTTAAATTTTAGGGATTGAGTATTGCTATCCTGGGACCTACATTTCAAGATCTGGCCACTAATGTGAACCGCAATATCAGCAGCCTTTCTCTGATTTTCGTGAGCCGTGCCTCTGGGTATTTGTGTGGCTCTATGATTGGAGGAGTTCTTTTTGACTGTATGAATCATTTTTTGCTTTTGGGTAAGTGAATAGTAATTTTTAATTCTTTGTGCCTGTCAGTGAATTTACAACTGGGTTCTAAGGATGAAAACTTGTTGGTAACTGAAATGAATAGTGTTTCAGGGTCCTCCACAGAAGCTAGGTCTCCATAGGTCTCACCTTGGCAGCCACAGGGCATCTGGGCTGGGCCACCCGGAGCCTTGATTAGCCTTCAGGTGTGCTGATGGCAGTCCTGAGCCTCCCGACCTCCACTGGAACTGAGGCAGCAGTTCATGTCACACACCTGTCCCAAAGCTCTGCCCATCAGCTAGGGCAGGTCTGTAGGTGTGTCTGGAGTCAGATGACCTCTGGGAATGTGACCAGGCTCTCTGGACTCTGGGTTGACAGTGCAGGGCAGGGGATGGTGATGGACTGACACAGGCTGCACATTTGTCCTTCTGTTGGTGATGAGCCCAGACTGGTGTGCTATAGCCTGGAGGTGACTGGCCACACTTTTAATGAGCTGTTGTTTTAATAGAATGACAGGTTTCATGAAAATTAAATGACATAAGGAAGGCCTTTGGAAAAAGGAGAAAAAGCTATTGGTAATGAATAAGTAAATAGTCCCTCTTATTTTCAGAGTGGAATGCATTTCTTATAGCTTACTTTAAACTTTTTTGTCCAGGAATATCAATGCTGGCTACCACAGTTGGTCTTTATCTTATCCCTTTCTGCAAGACTGCAGTACTGGTGATTGTCATGATGTCTGTTTTTGGAGCTTCAATTGGCATTCTGGATACAGGTCAGTAAAACCTTCAGTATCACCTCTGGGATCAGGACAGATGAAGTTACACTGTCATTCATAATACTCTTCACAGGACAGGGAGTACTGAATTGGTTTTAGTGACATTCAGAACTACTGTTCTATCTGCTACATTTCTGATAATTAGGGCCTCCATTTTTGCACATCATTTGTGACATAAATGATTGTAAAGCATTTTGTTCCATAAGAGATTATAGATTTACAGGATGAAATCGAAAGAATCCCGTAAGAGTAATTATAGTAAAGCAGGCTATCATTTTGTGATGGAATTTCATCATTTTACCATAAAAGAATGAATGCTTTCATGGATGGATGGGTTTAACCATAGTTTGGTGTCATTACTTGGTTGCAGAAGCAAAAAGCTATGTCCATTTTCAATGTCCCCCACATTTGGGGCAGAGAAGAGCCTGCATGCCGTACTGCCTTCCCATGTTCCTCTTCTGTTGTGCCTCTGCAGTTTCTGAAATAAATGTTCTCCGTGTGTCATCATGTGTTTGAAAACTGAAAAGCATGTGATACCCATCCCCCCCAGCTTCCAGTTTTCTATGCTTCTCTACCCAGTTTAACATTATTAGGTAGATGGTGGGAATATTTTATAACTCAGGCTTAGTTTGCTTGTAAAATGCAATCTGATTTAAAAACATCTGACTTTTTTTTTTTTTTTAAAGGACAGGCAGAGTGTTAGTATTCTTAACTTTCAGCTTGCAGGTGTTCAGACAGTATTGGTTCAGGTTAACAAATGGGCTTTTGTTTTCTCTAATGGGCACAGCAGGATGCTGGAGTTTTTAAGTCCCAAGTTGGTATTTTGAATCTATTTATATTTTGAATCTATTTATATATACATAAAACAATCTTCCTCAGAAAATCTTTCAATAGCAAGTATGGGACGTTTTGGTAACCAGGTCAGTATCGATGATCAACTTTTATCTGGTAAATATATATTGTAAACACTTGTAAATATGTATTAATAATTCATGAAGTTAATACTGTTTTATAACCATGGTGTATGAATAAAAGGTTGTAGTTCTCTAGTGATGGTGGCTTAGAGTTCTCAAATCACAGAATTGACTCAGAGCCTGTCTTTGAAGAATGTAGACCATTACAGTGCTTAACTGATGTAATACATTTTCATTTTTTACATAGTGGGGAGCAGGGTTTGGTGTTGTGTTTTTGAAACTAAGTTCTGTGGATAACTTAAAACTTTCTCTGTGTCTCTTTGCTAGGTGGGAACGTGCTCATCTTGGCTCTTTGGGGGAACAAGAGCCCCCCCCACATGCAGGCCTTACACTTCAGTTTTGCCCTGGGCGCCTTCCTGGCTCCCCTGCTGGCTAAACTGGCACTGGGCCCCACAGTGTCTGCTGACAACCACACAGAGCCCGACTTTCTCCCTGCAGCCCTCAATGCCTCTTCTGAAGCCGCCTCAGACCCTCTACTCGCAGCTCCCCATGACATGAACTTACTGTGGGCTTATGCTTCCACAGGCACTTACATTCTCATAGTTTCTCTCCTTTTCTTTGCTCAGTTCTTCATGAAAAGCTCAAGGCAGGGAAAATCAACAGCATCTGCTCAGCAATCTCGAAGAGCTCAATACCACAAGGCCCTTCTCTGTCTGCTTTTTCTGTTCTTCTTCTTCTACATTGGGGCTGAGGTGACATATGGCTCTTACATTGTCTCCTTTGCCACCACTCATGTTGGCATGGACGAGAGAGAAGCAGCTGGCTTGAACTCCATCTTCTGGGGGACCTTCGCAGCCTGCAGGGGCCTGGCAATCTTCTTTGCCGCGTGTTTACGTCCTGCCACCATGATTGTGTTGAGCAACATTGGCAGCCTGGTCTCCTCTTTGTTTCTGGTACTTTTTGACAGGAGCCCCCTTTGTCTCTGGATAGCATCCTCCGTGTATGGGGCCTCCATGGCCACCACATTTCCCAGTGGTGTTTCTTGGATTGAACAGTACACCACCATCAGTGGCAAATCTGCTGCATTTTTTGTGATTGGTGCTGCCTTGGGAGAAATGGCTATTCCTGCAGTAATTGGAATTCTTCAAGGAGAGTACCCAGATTTACCAGTAGTTCTGTACACCTGCTTGGGGTCAGCGATCTTCACTTCCATTTTATTTCCTATGATGTATAAATTAGCTACATTGCCTCTGAGTCATCATCGAGTAGGACACAGAAAAAGTGAGGATCAGAAAGCTTTGCTTTCTAGCAGTGAGCTAAACGACTATGAGGAAGAGAATGAAGGTGAGGATGCAGAAAAATGGAATGAAATGGATTTTGAAGTGGTTGAGATGAATGATACTGTGAGTCCTTGCACAATAGAGATGTCTAGAAATATTTTGATGGAGACCACAGCTGACTTTTCCAACCAGTTTCTCTCTAGTCCATTGCTAGTTGAGTCATCTGTCAATACTGGTGATTTCTTTGAAAAAACCACTTGCAACACATAAGTATAAAGGGCTAATTTTTACAGAATATGCATTACCACTGACATCATTGAATAATCGCCATGTCTAAAGAGGCTCTTGAGAGCAGAGCATTGGATTATCAGCATGCTTGGAAATCAGAATTTCTAGATCCATTTATAGCATCTGCTAAATGGTTTGAAATGCTCTGTGATTGTGAGTGACTTTGTATGGTATTATCTTGTTAGGAGACTTGTGCTTGGTTTGTGGCTGATTATAGTGGTGGTGTGTTATAGTCCCCACCTTGTAGAGAGAAGGAAGGGACATTTGTGTTTGAGAATTTGGATAGAGAAAAGTTGGGTACAAAATTGTAATAGAGAAAAACTACAGTGTAGGGAGTGGAATGGATTTGCTGAGCAAATAATCAGGCATCCTTGTTTTGTCAAGGTTGTTTTCTTCCTCCTACTGTCCTTTCTCCTTTTTCTCCCTTCCGTTCTGAGATTCTAGAAATAAGAAAGAGGACTTACATTTGTTCAGGATGTCTGCTAGGATAGTCTGTTCTTCATTTCAAAGGTAAAACAAAAATGATAGCTTTAAAAAAGTGCTGCTTTCTATGGTATGGATAGAGACAGGGAGATTGTGGTTTGAGAGTTTGGTCAAGTTTGTAAACCCTATCTCAAAAACCAACAGGACATGGTTGCACATGCCTGTGATCCTAGCTACTCAGGAGGTGTAGGTGGGAAAATTGCATTTGGCTAGTAGGGGAAAGATGAGCTCCAGACCCTGTCCAAAAAACAATCTAGAAATAAAAGGACTGTGGTTGTGGCTCAAGCAGAGGCCCTGGGTTCAATCCTCAGCCAAAAAGCCCCCTCAAACCCAAAAACCAGAAAAGAAATTACTGCTTATGACTTCTCACTGATTCTAAGGTACACCATTTTTAATGTAATAGAGTATGCATTGTACTCAATGATTGTTTAGTATTTGACATTTTAGTGAATTATGTATGTAGTCACATATATTTAGAATTTTGTTTTACAATCAATGTCTCAGATTCAGTGAAATGTCACAATTTGTTCAATTATGGAGAAGATACTATTTTTGCAGACATTCTACAGAGAAGTTATTTTTATATGCTTTCTAGTTGTGCTCAGATGGGATATGTTAGATGTCACTGAAATACTACTGTACTAGTAGAACTATAAATAGGCCTTTTGTGGTCCTTGGTCTACCTCAGGAACAGAGGCTGGGTCTGGTCCTTGCTGTTTTACAATTTGATTCTCATTAGCTATGGATGATAATCACTGATAAGTACTATATACCAGGCTAATAGCTTACGTTAAGGCACTGACTGTCAGGTATTGGGAAACCTATGTCACTCTTCCAGGAATTCTACTCTCTGAGTTTTGAAATACCTGGGAAATCAGGTGGTTTATTGGTATAGGAGACAGGGAAGGGACTTCAGATGACTTTTGATGTGAGTAGAATTGGTGACTCGTGTTTCTTATTTCTTCTCAAATTATGCTAAATGACATTGCATTTTTTTTTTTTTCTGGTCCTGAGGCGTGAACTAGAGTTTTGCCCAAGGTGAATGCTTTACCACTTGAGCCACAGAGCAACTTCCGTTTTGTTTGTTTGAGTTTATGGAGATAGGAGTCTCATGGAGTTTCCTGCCTGGCCTGGCTTTGACCTGTGATCCTCAGATCTCAGCCTCCTGAGTAGCTAGGATTACAGGTGTGAGCCACCAACACCTAGCTGACATTAAATTTTATCTGTTGTGATGTTTGCTTTCTCTTATCAAATTTCTATTACTTTGCTTTTGTAAAAAAAAAAAAAAGGTTTAAGTGAAATACAGTGTTTTTCTTAACCACTGCTTATTCATCTTATAGGCTGCTACATTAGTTCATGTTAGTAAGAACAACTTTTTTTTGAAGATTTTTAACCTGACAGAAAACACAAAAGAAAAACAACCTGTTGTTCTTTTTCTACTGTCTTTCTCTCAGGTAGGGACTGAATCTACCTCTGTACCGCTTACTGCTTTTTTCTAGGCACCTTTGGTATACCTCATCATGCCTCCATCATTGCCTGGCATCCTCACACTTAGTTCAAGTGTTTTCTAAGGGTCAGTTGTGTCTTGTGTGTTTGTGAACATAATGTGATCTCTTCAATTGAAGTAGAGGTGTACTGTGAGGTCTGAATTGTTTCTTAAGTCTTATATTTCAAAGATTTTCCTGAGAGTTTTCTAATAATGATGCTTTGGCTTTCTAGTTTTTATTTTGAGGTTCTTCCAAAAGGAGGTAAAATCTTTACTGCATCAGCTTGAGCCTGGGTGCTGTCCGTGAGCTTTTTTGCTCAATACTAGCACTCTGTAAGTTGAGGCACAGCTCCATTTCTAGCTTTGTGGTGGTTAACTGCAAATAATCTCATGGATTTTTCTGCCTGGGCTGGCTTCATACCATGATTCTTAGAACTCAGCCTCCTGAGTAGCTAGGATTACGGGTGTAAGCCACTGGCACCTGGCTTAAATATCTTAGTATCTGTGTACAAATGATCTTTTCAAAGGGCTGCATTTCTATTGAACATAGAGGCTCTTTATTTCTAATTATTATTTTCTGAAACCTGTGGTTCCTCCTTCCAGCAAAAGGCAGTACCATTAGTAAGACAGGCAATTAAGATGATTTTCCAGTTTTTTTTAAAAAAGCCTTTGTCTGCCTTCTGGGTATTCTCTTTGCCTAATACACAGAAACCTCATTGTGAGGATGTGACAATGCCTCTGCAGCAGTTTTGCTTTGCAAGCCACACTCTGCCACGTCTTCAAGGAAGCAATGGGTAAGGTGAGAAAATACGACAAGCAATGGATTAGGTGGTGTGTGTTGTCTTATGACTTCCTCCTTGGAACCCAAATGTTAGATGTAACTCCCAACTATTTTTCTATATAAAATTAAGAACTGTGGCATTACTGGTGCAGGATCTTACTTTTTATTATAAAACCCACATTGTTAAAGCTAACAATATTCATTGAATCAGGGAAAAAGAACAGGCATTATGTGGATAAAAACAAGTCAAGTGTGCATGCTGTCTTCCAAGATGTGAACAGGACTAAGAGAGATCTGAAATACCTAGCTTAAAAATAGCTACATATACAGTCACCTTGTCTTCCCCTTATCTCTGTTGATGGCAGAGCACTAATTGTTTATAGCTAGGTTTGTTTTATTCCATAGTTAAATACTTAAGGAATACTATTCTGCAATTAAGTTCAATTTAAAAGTTTAGTAGGCCTTAACAATATTCCTTTGCTTCAGCTGTTAGGAATGAAAATCACAGATGTTAAGATCAAAACCATACAGCTAGAAGACTTTACTATAGTTTATGGAGAGTTCAGGTCACCATGATAGTGCATCTGATGGCAGGTAACGTATGTCATCTCAGACTAACGTGTTATCAGCTGTGGACTATGGCAGTCAGTTGGGCTCTATAGTCCTCAGGATTTCCGGATGGTCAGCCCTAGCTCCAGATGACCTCCTAGGACCAATCTTCTCTAAAAATTCTTAACTGCTCACTATTCATATTTTTGTCAGATTCCAACTTTCCCAGGGAAGTTTGAAAACGGGATCCTCACTGACTGGCAGTTTTAAAAGGCTGAGGGCAGTTACAAAGGAGCTATTTCCTTGAGGAAGGGGCAACCAAATCAATGTGCTAAATACCTAAGACTAGGCAAGTTTAGGTGAGTCATGCTGAGTAAACCATTATGGAGTCAAAATTGTAAAGTGAATGAATATTGCTAAATTACATGTCTTTTTTAAAAAAACATGTCTTGATAAAAGGAAAACACACTAATGCTCTTTCTTTGTTCTTCCATGGGGGAAGTAATTCATAAAGTGGTTATTCTTTTGAAATACTGTGTTACTATGAGATGTTATGAGCTACAGTTCCTGACAGCAACTAAGTTAGAAGTGTGTCCACCCACAGAAAAACTAGTAAAACTCATATTCTCAGGACTAGTCCCAGCCTTTTCCCACAACTGCAAAAAGATGGCCAAAAGTAAGGACTATGTCAACAGGACTTACATTACATAAATAATAATGCATCCATTATATACAAATAGGATTATATATGTTTATGAACATATATATGTATATTAATATTTATAAAGATATAGTTTATATTTGATATTAACCATATAATTTTCATAAAATGATCTGCCAACTATTTGTGTGTGTGTGTAAACCTGGTGAATGGTCAGATCAGCAATATATGTATGGAAGCTTTTTAAAATATTGAAATTAATACATATATGAAAGACATTTAAACCTTTTTTTAAGTAGTAATGTACTTTTTGCTTTCCTTCTGGAAAGTCCTGGCCTCAAGATTAATTGTATCTACACAAAAACAATGAACATTGACAATATGCCAAAAAAAAGTATATTCTTCTCTAAAGGGATGAAGGCAAAATTTTTCTTAAAACTGTTTTTGTTGTTTTTTAATCCTAAACTTTGATAAGGGAAAGTTAATATGAGTCATGAAATAAGATGAGCTAAATTTAAGAAAGCAGAATAAGATGTAACCAAGGTTGGTTTAGAAAACAGATGAAGGTAATTATTGAGCAAGACTAAATGACATTGCCATATTTCATTTTTTATATTTCATATTTTATTCAATTTTAATATGGTTTTCATTATTAACTCTTAAAACAAAATGATTTCCAGTTTAAAAAACAATGCGCTGACCACATAATCCTTTTAAATTTTATACAGTTATACAAATATTCTAAACACACATTCTGTGTCCAAGATGGCGGCAAACGAGATTAACTGTACAATACATAACTGTACAATACTTAAGGAGAGAAAGTATTTTGAGCATATTTAGAAGCAATAGAAATGTCTATACAAAACAAGCAAAGATGGAATAAAATTTTTTATTTTTAAAGTATTGCAACAGGCCCACAGGTTTGTAACAAAAATGTCTTTGCACAGTTCCTCACAACGCCCCATTAATAGCTAATAAAGCAAGACAGCATTTTTTTGTTTTTGTTTTTTAGAAAATAATGTTTCAAAATGCTACACATGGTACTATTTGTTTCCACAGTCTGATCAAAATAACAAATCTACTTTTGAGTCAAGCAAAACCTAGAGGAAATATACCAAACAACTTGAAAATCATTTGTATAAAAATTCATTGCACATTATTTTACTCAGTTGTTTGAAAAGTAAAAAAGTATATTTACAAAATATTTTGCAGTCAAAATTATAAACTGAATGGATATTTCTAAGTAACACATCTTGATACAGAAGTTCAAGGAAAACACACAAATGGTATTTCTTTAAGAGGTTTTCAAAGTGTTCCTTCCACAGGGAAGTAAACATGATCTGTTCAAATGGATTTACAAGGTGGTACACATACTGGAGGCAAACCAACACCTGCTTTATAAAACAATGTGAAAGAATGAGGAATTTGTACATTGTAAGAAGTGAGTTACTCCGAGATCAATGAGTATAACTTCTAATTCAGTTAACATAAAAGTCTTCATAGTCTTCAGATAACAGACAATGAACATCCTTGATGAAAGTTGAGGAAGCACCATGCATGACAGCTTAGTGGTAAACACTGAACAAATAGCACCTGGAATTCTGAGATATTAATAATTTAAAACTGGTCTAGTAATTGCCGGAGATATGGTGCCTTGGATAATTCTCTATTTACTCGAGAGAGTTTGTAAAGTACTGGGCAGTTCAGAGAAACACATGGGATATGTCGGTCAAAGGAACTTGTACAGTTCTTGCATATCTGTAAGCATAAGAGAAATACATAAAACAACAGGAAAACTAGTATTTGTGTAAATAATGAAATTTTAAAATAATTCATCCTAACCTACTACAAGATTACTGGCAAACACACAACACAATGCATTAAAGAAAATTTCTTTAGTTTTTATCTTTCAGAAGCCTAGCCTACCCTATGGGCAAAACGTTGCTAAAGGATGTTATTTCACATAGCAGTACAAAATTTTCTAAAGAGCCATTTCATTTGAGAGATTAACTTTCATTTACAATAGAACTCTTTAAATTCACACAGAATGGTAACTTTCCAGCAAGATAATCACTAGAGATATCTGACACATTTTCCTTTCCACAAAGAATAAACAACAGTTCAATTAGAGTATCTGATGGGAGCACTGGTGTATGCTAGGGAAAGGGCAAAGAGGCTGAGCAACACGGAGATTCAAGAAGGCCTTATATAAAGAGAACAAAGCATCCTTCATTTTCTAAGTTGTCTTCCTAGTTGGAACCAGTTTAGATTTCTCACCATGGGAAAAAGTTTAAGGAGGCCCACAGAAACTCCCATAGTCCCTGACCCTAGTTCTGGGAGCTGCAGGGAGTTTACATGACTGCACTGTCTTAGAAAAGTTTATTTAGGCCATAATGGACCTGGGCTGATGCAGCACAGAAAGCAGCTCGGCAACCAGCCCCATAGATGTGTACAACTCCACTCAACTGGACCTGAATTAGAGACATGCCTCTGTGTGTTCTGAGGTTCCTTGAAACAGGCTTGCCCTGAGGCTACAGAACTGCCCAGCTAAGCCAGCATATCTGGGAAAGCTCTGGTCAAATGGGAGGCCCAGCCCCATAAA